CCACGTAAAACGCATTGAACGTCTGTGATCATTCAGGTGTGACGTTTTTATCCCCACATCCTTAAGACTTTTAACAACATACTTTGTCTCTTATTGAACTTGCGATATTCTGTCTATTTCTCCTTAAGTAGTGCAAACTTTAGCATCATCCTGCAGGATTAACTTCATGTTATCAAAATATTCATGACGACCAGTTATCGCCACACCAGCTCATTTATCAGACGGACTCAGGATCAAATCCTTATTTCTATTCAGGCGAATTAGCATAATTAAATGATACTTAGTCAATGAGTTATTCTTACTGTTACGGCAGAACTGGAGACATTTGGCTGATTTAAAAACTTTGTATTGAATATCATTAATTTCTATGTGTCTCTGGATGTATTTGTCATAATTAACTTCCGAAATTGTTTGCTTATATCATTATTTTTGACATTTTTATTTCTCTTTGTCTTTCGTTCGGCATTTCGTACTGTTTGCTGTGGGAACATACGAAGTTGGAGGACATTTGGGCAGACTATTTGTAAATCGCGAATAAACTTTGGTACCTAAATTGGTGTTTGCTTCCATTGTTAATTCGGTTCGTAAATTGATCTCTCCTATTGTTGGTGGGCCAACATTCATTAGGAGGTCCGCCGATGCTACTTCGATGTCGTGTGTGTTCAGTGAAGCTAGTCGATTCGTGAGTTCTTTGAAGCGTTGGCTGTACTTCGATGTTCGTGATTACTTTGACCTCCTAGTTTTTCACGGGTCGTTCTGGTTTCCGAAAATTTCCAGTGATTTTCTTTGGTAAGTCAGACGATTGACTCATGTTTACTTCTATTGCAGCCTTTTTCGCCGTCATTGATAGATACTCCACATATTGATGTTTTTCTTTTCTGATGCCTCTCTTCACCTGCTTGTTAACTTCTGTGTATTCTGCTTCAGCTTTGTCTTTCTCCGCTCTTGTTCAGCTGGCATTGATTGCTGCTTTCTACTTCCTCCTTTCTTAAATCTCATTCAGTGTATTAATAGTTATCCATTCCTTGTGGTGGTGTTTATTTTAGTCCAGAACCTCGTGACGTATTGAAGTGATTACCTGATTTCTTCTTCTAGTTGTTATTCATAGACGTCTCCTATCCATGGAGTAGATCATGAAAGGCCTGGAATAAGAAGATATCATTTGTCTTACTTTCTGATGTCTCCCATCAAATTTTGTGAACAAAACTGTCAATATATAAAAGAGAAGCTGATGACGAATTTCAAGTGTTTTTCAGCGAGATAGTCATACTCATCTTTACAAACTTAAATACAAAGTTAATCTACATTTGTAAATTTTATTTGTGATTATTCTAACAGAGAAAACTGACTGAGAATAACAATGCAAACTGTAGGATATCGGATAATACTTTAAAGGGTTAAGCGCTTCCCACAACGCCTAACAATGAAACATTCTGACCATCATTGAGGCCTTCGATGCGCGTCTTTCATGAGTCTGATGTTTAAATAAAAAGACAGTCAAAAGCATTTTAATGTCAGGTGGGTGTTCAGCTCAGACCAATCTGTAATGTGAAGTATAAGGAAATAACATGTGCTGTCCTCAATATTCTTTAATTAGGTCACCAGTTAATACTACCCTTTATCTGAAAATTTATCATTCATATACGTGTGTGTATGTATGCAATGTTTATTTGACACTGATTTTCATCAACGTAGCGAAGGGCCGTAACGTTAACAGTATTTATGTGGAATATAATCACTTAGTGCATTTTAATCCTAAAAAAGTTGCAAGATTAGTTACATTCAATCTTTATATCACAATACCACCGATTTGACCAAATGTTTTCTTTGAATGCTTAATTCCAATCTAAGAATAGTGTTGAAAATAGTTTGAACCAGACGATAATGATTCGTCTGTACTCTATAAGCGTGATTATTCACTATATGTCATAGGAAAACACAAAATTGTTCAAGTCGTCATTGTTGTTTCTCAGAGTAACCAGTTCATTTGAGATAAGCAACACATATGAACCCGAAAACGCATCAGATGAATCTTCAGGTAATTTGAAAATCTTTATTTATTTCATTACAGATTATTCTCATAAACATGATGTATATTCTCTGCATGATCTGTCAGATGAAAATTTAAAATTTGAAAAGCTGAATACTGTCACGATGCATCTGGACTATTTCAGTTGGAGGGATCCCATTAAGCATTCTTCATCTTTATAGTGAATATTCAAACAAATAGCCGATTGTGCAATCCATTCCAAATGACTTGATTCTCAGCTACATAAAATTAGCATGAAGAGTGAGTATCTAACGCTCAACAGTTAGACAATATATCTCATATCTCCCACTGAGTAAATAATAGGTAAACGTGATGATGGGTAAAGGTATTTGAATCGGTCGTGTTGTGATTTTCTTATAACGGTTGTTGTTTATTTGGATTACTCGGCCAATACTTTGATATGGCATATTGTTGAGACTTTCAACGTTTTGTTCAAACAACAACAATCATTAAACAGCACATAGAAACATCTTTATGAAGTGGACAAGTTTAATGTAGAAACAAATACGATTTTAAAAATTTTAGAGTGGGGTAAATTTGTTTCACCCTCATTGCTTATTTTGTTTAGCCCGTGATGAACTACTACAGACTGGTTAATCGCATTGTACACATCAGACGTGTTTCACACGTTCGAATTTTCTATTTGAATACTTGACAAGAAATCGATATTCTCCATTGTTTCAGTAACAAGTCATAAAGTGATATCTGTCAATGGATATCTGGTCAATATTAATTAACATATATACACAACATTACTCATGTTGACATTGTGAACTGCAGTTTGCAGTATTATCCTCAACGTTGAGTACAAATGACGAGGCACGAACCATTGCACTTCACAAATTTCATAGTGATACTGTATGTATTGATATTCTAAATAAAATCATTATTGACGAAACCTGCAATCATATTTAGCATACAAAATATCCTCATGATATTCTCTTGATTGTATCTCAACCTGGATGTTTAACGTTGATACAGCGCATGGTGCTCAACCAGTTGTTTTTCGCAGTTTATCATTGTGGTATTTTGAGTGAACATGAATCTGATCATTAGTTCACGCTCACCAACGATCACGTAAAATGAGTGCGTGTGATCTCATTTTCACTTGATTCCCTAATGTTCATCTAGTCAGCTTACTCATATGACGTGACCCGTTTGATTTCTTGCTATAATATATCACACACGTACTATTGCATTGCGTTGGTTGTATCTTATGTTTCATTGGCCAACAAATGAGCGTTTGTTCGTGAATGTGAGATGAAATTGTCGAGATGAATTAAGCTGCTTATTGGTTGCGTCGAAAGTGTGTGAAATAGATTAAACAGGACTTGACTAACGGAATACACCTTTGGAAGCCTTTAAATTCTGGACAATCTGAAGCAATACTAACTGTTATGGATATATCACAACAACTGAAAACTCAATGTACATTGAAAACATAAGCCGTAAAACTATCTTTGTAATCATATTGTAAAATAATATTTCAATGTTTCAAACACCAAGCCACTAGAGAATTCTGTTTTTAGCGACTACAGCCTATAGATTCATCAATTATTTAGTGACCAAGTCTTACTGTTGCGAACTAGATTCCGTGGAACATGCGTTTCAGACTTTGTCGTTTTGCGTAACATGAAAACTAGCGTCGAGTTCAGCGAGAAAAACGTGTGTATGACGAAAATCTATTTCACAGTAAGACCAGTTGCACATTTCTCTCTTATATATTTGTCTGTGGGAAATTTGAGTTTCAAAATGATGAAAAACTATGCTAAACCTGCTAAGACTTAAAGTCAGGTCAATCACTTCTTTCTCAACTGAACTCTAGTAGCGTCCAGAATTTGTGATAGTCTGAAATGTATGTTGAACAAATCATCAGTCGAAATGTGTGGAACAACTGTTCATGTAGCATCATTTTTGGTGTACATATGTGTCTTCATGACTTTAGATGATAGGTTGATTCAGAGTGTTGAGATCAAATTCTGGAGAGTTAAAATTCGACAATCCAAAACGTGCGTTCGACAGACGTTGTAGTACTAGCCGGAGAACTAAGTGCTCACGTCGTGTGTCTATGCACAGAAGAGAGTCGTTCTGGTGTCCATTGTGGACTTGTTGGTCGCAAGTCAGATACCACTGACCATTTTCTGAAAAGGTGCGTAGACTAATACTGATCAAGGACTGCACTAACTACTGACAAATTTGTGGTCGATAACCTACCCAGTGCCCTTCCTCTGCATCTCGAACCAGGACACAGGTCGATCACAATGCGATCAGCACAGTTGGCATGGTTGTGTTCAAGAACGCTGCTCGTTTAAGAGCAACCATTTCGACTCCGATCAAGCTATTGTTTGAGTTGGTTATATCTTTCGTTTCATTGGTCAACAAATGAGTAGTTTTAAAAGGATCGATGTCACCAAATTGATGTAGCTTCTGTTGCAACCAAATATCAAAAATGACCAAATTCGGTGCTAGCCACCAGTCTACTAAAAACCATAGATGAGCATTAGCCGCAGTTGCGTGGCATCACTAAAATTTCCTTGCGGCCCCGCCAAACGTTTCGTGTATGAGTAATAAGACTCTACAGGTTCCTTACAAATCATTTAAGCACGTTGATCTACCTCGAGTGACCGTTAAGGAAACCGTCTGTGAAGATTGTGGGATGGAAACATTCAAAAATCCACTCTCGTATTCGACTTTTCTAATTTCCCTCCCGTCATTGCCAATCAAATCGACGATCATATAAGGGAATAGTCAGGATATATATTTCAAAAGCACTTTTTCGATAACCATTATTCGTTTGATTTTTGTAGAATCATATATTAGGCCACTAAATCTGCATCAGTTTACCAACCGAAGACAACAAATCGATAAAAGAACTATCCAGGTAAATTGCAATATTTATTACCAGTAAACAGGTGTAAAATTAACCTAGAATAAATGTGAAGACCAGCAGTTAAATTTCCAAGAGTATAGTAATAACTACAAATGAATTTGATTTCGTTAACTCACATGAATGCGCTTCATTTTCATCATCCTTTTTCGAAATAAAAAGATCTAGAATCCGTATCCGTGATATTGTAGTAAATTTATTTCCATTTAAACCATGTTTCCGGTATCAAGCACTTCCGTACATATTGAAGTCCACATAGTGAATGAATACCGCTTGAAGATAATGTTCACAAAGGATTAAATTCCAGGCTTTACCTTTCCATTGATCTGCTTTTCCAACCTGTAAGATGAAATGCTACGCAGTGTTGCGTTTATAGAAGACGCTGGCAAATAGCTGTCGATGACTGAAATAATGTTGCTTGAACATTCAAGCTCTTGTATGCAGCACTCGCAACGTAAACGTACGCAAGTGCTCGAATATACTGAATAATATACATTTTTGAATATTGGGAAGAAGGATGGTTAATTTCAAATGTACTTACATGAATCTATGAACTCTATCTATTTATGATTTCAGTAGTATCCTCTTGAAATTTTAACTGTTCATCATATATTCTTATGGATTGTATGAACATTCGTTAGGGTACATACCCGATTAGTACTCCACAGCTCGAACTATACTTATGTGAGTGTGTAATATTCAGATTATGAATCTCAGGACGTCTTTCAATAATATGATATTTATTACAGCTACAATACGAACAAGGATATTCACCCTTGAGAACAGAGAAAGAACGAGAACACTTGTTGACATTCTATAATCCGACTTGATAAACACCAATCAGCAATCAACTAGACAAATCAGTTTCTCTCAAATTTGTGGGACTTGTGGCCTGACGAGAATGTCAAGTGATGATAATCAGAATAAATATAGAGGACAACTGGATTTCGTAGGCTATGATATGGGTTATTATGCAGAGCGATATAATTGTATATATTTATCAGTAATTTTGCTTCTAATTTGTTAGCCAAACATACTTTCTCGATCAAGTAGTCAGTTGTGGAGTTAGTTCGTAGCACATCATGTTTCACTATCATTATCATTTTTGAGACATCCGCTATCATTACGGTTCTGAATAGTTTATTAACAGTTCTAGGTTGCCAAATTGTCTATCATGGTCGGTTATACATTAAATTATTTTCATTATTACAGGGATTGTTGATGTAGTATGCTATGGAAACATATAAATCAACATCAGAAATAAATTTCATGATTATTGTTTCAAAAGTATGATTGCTCAGCTGATATATCTATGGAAACGCCACTGAAATGTAGCAGATCAAGTACCAACCCGAACTTAAGATGTTGCTATAGCTACAGTTTGAACACTTATATATCGCAACAAACCACTTCGTAATGTGATCAAATTCAACCGAATGACATATCAACCGAGAAAATTTCTTTCATTGATACTGATCATTTGATTTCTGTGTAGGTTGCCATAACACCTATTTCTAAAACCAAAGCAGGTTCTTTAAAAAGATCGCAGCTACTGTCCCTGAATCGAAGGTTCAATCTAAAAGAACGGTGGAGCAACATCAAGAAATGCAGTCAAATAGTTCAGAATATATTCCGCAAACCACGAAGTAACAACCAGTTGTTCTGCCCACATCGAAAAACGTTACTTTCAAGAACCAAACCATTGGTAATATTTAAAAACACGACTTTCAACGAATAGATCTCTTTCGGAGGGACTGATTATCAAGCTGTATACTTGTATATAGATATGAAGAACATTTCTCTAAATGTACTGGTTTCGTGAGGAATAATTGAAGTAATGTAATAGTGAGGTTATCATACTAGATCACGTAATATGAATAAAAACAAAAGACTTAATAATTTAACATCGAGCCACCACATGAATGCTGAAAGGTAACTAACATGCTCTTGTAAATAAAGATACACTTAAACACTTATACAGTATTTCACACTTATATATACTACTCATTATTGTATTCTGTCATCATGAAAACTGTGAATGATTGATTTTCTCTAAGGAAATCACTTACAGTGTTATGTTCCATTTCTCAAGTACTTTCAGTGAATAACAGTCAGTTGATCTGGAAATCATTACGATGATTTTCAATACTAGACAAGCACGGGAAACAACAAGGAATAACCAGAGACAATTTGTGTTGAGGAGGAAGTGATGGGGGTTGAGAACATAGTGAAAATAAAGCATGATTTAATCAATAGTAATAACCTTGACAATAATGTAAAATAAAAATTTTATTAGTGATTAATAATAATCATAAGTGACTTAATCAAATTAAGTTTATATTCAACATTTACCTTCCTGAATTCAAAAGTGCAGTTTACAAAGTATAATTTAGGATGTAGATATAACTGCAGAAGCATTTTGACTAAAATGCGCAGATGGGCTATCAACGAACCCATTAATGTCACGAATTCGATTATCATGCTACCTCTTTAAGAAAGAGCAACTGTTTTTCCTAACAAAAAACACTTCTTGACAAGATCAATATTATATTGAATAATCACCAAAAACTTCAGAAACAGAATGAGCAAAAGGATGTCAATAAAAGATATAGACAGATCGGGACGGATCATTTGCGAAGCTCAGATATCAGCAAGTGATTCCAACAAACATCGACGGAACGATTCGCTCGCTAGCTACCCGCTTACCGATGTTATGCAGACTACGAACGTACATTTCAAATTCAGTGGTGGAATGTATAGACTAATAGATTGTGTCGCTACGGGTTCACCCTCAGGTCACATATTGACGGACATTTTACTCGCCGAACTAGAAGGCACTCCACTAGTACTGACAAGTTTTCATTTTACTGCCAATATATGGACGACACGTTTATGTATTGAAATGTCCATACTGACCTCAAATATACGCTTTAGCGATTCAACAACGTCCGCTCTTCCATAAAATTCGTATTATTTTACATTTTATTCTACGTTTTTCTCTCTTTGTGTCTCTCTCTTATGTCATGTTGACCATATTTATTCTGACCAATATTTGTCTCACAGTTTCATTTCACTTATAAATTCATTCACGTTAACACTTAGTATTAGTCAGCCTAACATGAACGATTCGATGCCATTTTGTGTGCCATACTCTGCCCTAATTATCTGATAAAGTTATTTGGATTATTGATTTCAATAATCCGCCCAAACTGGACACATTGAAGAATCCATTACAATCCCATCTATTTGCCTATATATTTCATTGTTGAAACTCAACTTGACATTAAACGTACAACGTAAAACGCATTGAACGTATGTGATCAATTGGGTCTGTCGTTACTATCAACTCTTTCTTATGATTTTTCAATTACTTTGCGGTATTCTGTCTACTCCTTTAAGTCCGAAAATCTGGTACCTTCGTCTAGGTTAACCTCATTTTATCCAAATATCATTGCGGATCATCTAGTATCACACCGGATACTTTGACAGGTTTACAATTTTATATTAATGAATCCATGACTACCCTCCAGCAATGTAGATTTAAATGATCAAGATCTTGTGGCGTTGTTGGTAGAAGTTAGGTTGATCTAGTCTTGTAGAGCAAGATATATTGACCGACGTCACGGGAACATGCCACAGTGTGGTTCTACAAGAGTGAGAAGTAAGCAGTTAAAATCACAGCCAGAACTATGCGTACGGAACGAAGTGTATCCCATCTTTATCGTTATGCTGGCTTTATTCTATTAAAACTATTAATGCTGAATTTCCCTATACTTATGTCTCATACTGTCATTTATTTCACACATCAGGTAACTTCATTTACTGTAACAATGAAGTGTTCATCGTCTAACTACATTCACGTTGTGATTTGTTACGGACTTATTAGGTGTAATGTAAGTATTGACATTTAGATATGTATGCAAACCAGGTGACATATGGAGGAAATGTGAAAAGTTAAGATGAAGAAGTGCATACTCATGTCTCAATTATGTACTGTGACTATAAGGTCTACATCTATTGATCATGAATATCAATTGGATACTTTCAATCTAACTATTAGATATCCTATTGATCTCTATCACAAATGGTTAATAGCTGTTCATGAAGTGTATTCATGCCAAATTATATTTTGTAAACTGCACTTTTCAATTCAGGAAGGTAAATGTTGAATATAAACTTAATTTGATCAAGTCACTTATGATTATTATTAATCTCTAATAAATTTTTATTTTACATTATTGTCAAGGTTTTTACGATTGATTAAATCATGCTTTATTTTCACTATGTTCTCAACCCCCCATCACTTCCTCCTCAACACAAATTGTCTCTGGTTATTCCTTGTTGTTTCCCGTGCTTGTCTAGTATTGAAAATCATCGTAATGATTTCCAGATCAACTGACTGTTATTCACTGAAAGTACTTGAGAAATGGAACATAACACTGTAAGTGATTTCCTTAGAGAAAATCAATCATTCACAGTTTTCATGATGACAGAAGTACAATAATGAGTAGTATATATAAGTGTGAAATACTGTATAAGTGTTTAAGTGTATCTTTATTTACAAGAGCATGTTAGTTACCTTTCAGCATTCATGTGGTGGCTCGATGTTAAATTATTAAGTCTTTTGTTTTTATTCATATTACGTGATCTAGTATGATAACCTCACTATTACATTACTTCAATTATTCCTCACGAAACCAGTACATTTAGAGAATGTTCTTCATATCTATATACAAGTATACAGCTTTATAATCAGTCCCTCCGAAAGAGATCTATTCGTTGAAAGTCGTGTTTTTAAATATTACCAAATGGTTTGGTTCTTGAAAGTAAACGTTGTTCGATGTGTCTACAACGACTCATAGTTACTTCGAGGTAATCAGGAATATTTGAATGCATTTCTATTCAGCCATTCGAGTTTCATCACAGTTTGCTTTCTATGACGCTCGTGTGAACATAAGGAACCCTTGAAAACATTCAATACTCACAGGTTGATATGTTGTATTTATTGACAGTCATTCAATATAAACGAAAATTACCATAGTATCAATAAGTGCTACATATCATATATCCATATAATGTCGGTTCATTCAAACTGACTTTTGAGCTTCTTTATATATTGAAATAGTGAATATTTCGATAGGACCTACACCAAAGTGCTCTCTGTCCCGTTTCTATTTGTATATGCTTGTATTCCGAATCGAGAAACTTGGTTTAAGTTTGAAGGTAATGGAATAGAATTCTGTATTCCAGGAATGCGCTGTGTGTGTCTGCTAAATGGTATTTCTATTCGTTGTCGTACGCCAGATGTCTATAAGGGTTTCATTGAAAACAAATTGAATTACTGTACTTAACTGAATTTCACAATACCTTAAAATCTGACTCATATGATACACAATTTTGTATATCCACACAGTTTCCATAGAAGATCAGTTTGAAATTGGAATCTAGACCTTGTCTATGTAAATCAATTACTACACCGGCATATACTGGCCAAACCGGATCAATAATTATCTTGTGGACGCCAGCGAAACTTGATCCATTTGGTCGTGAGTTGAGTAGATAGAAGAATGTGGCTGATTGGTAATTCTAAACATGGTGTCAGTTAAATTGCATATATAAATTAAGTTTACCTGTCCATGAAGTGGTACGAGCGTGGCTTTAGATCGTTGAACTTTATCTGAATAGTCTATCCAACCTTCAAATACAGTTTTGTCTTCAGTGTCAGCGAAATCGAAAAGGGTTTTGTTGAATAACCCACTTCGACCTAGGTAGATTTTGTATGATGATTTTCCCTCCATACCATTGTGAGTATTCAGCAGTAGAGTTGTGAATATTAAAACAACAACGAAGGTATTTTTGATCATCATCCGGAGGTGATTCAAATCCAAATTAATTTGAAATATTTGTCTGTAGGGTAAAAGAGAGTTTTAATAAACGTTCAGTTGAAAGGCTGTCGTACGTATAAAATGAGATATTCACAGAATGTTGCGGATGGTTTGATATTATACAATGACAACGTGGAGTACGGAACCAGTGGTTTATAGACGGAGCAAACTCTCACAAAGATAACTTATGTTTGAATTTAGCAACCATCAAAATTATAAACACTCGACCGATATATGTTAGTCAAGATCAATATATTGAAAAATGGTTGATTATTTGACTTTTTTCTACTTAAAATCTAAAAGCTAATGCCGGTCTAATTGCTCCATCTGTACATGTTAGCTCAGAATATAATGAAGATTGACGGAATGTTTTCATCGTATGTTAAATTTCCACTATTCCATACACTGGATTGTCGGGAAGATTTCAAATTGTCTGCAATTGTAAAGTATATACCATCTACACGAGTTGGAACCATTTAGTCATTCAACAGAACACTAGATAGGCCGTTTCATGTTATAGTACTATTGGTTTGGAATCAGGGTTTTCCAACTCCCCTAGGTGGATCCTCCGTCCCCACCGACCCGGTTAAAGCGCCCGACATTTGCTTTTAATCCTTTCAAGTTCGTAAACAACACCCCCACCATGAGAAGGCAGTGAGTAGGACTTCCCTGTCAGTAGCCATATGAGAGCATTTCGATAAGGAGAGCTAACTCTCCCCACTCTCAGACATACCAGAGCATTTGAGAACAAAACATTTTAAGCCAGTAAACAAATGTACAAAAAAACTAAAAATAAATAGATTTACATGAGATTCAACAATTGGTGAATTATTCATGATATTTGACTGATTTGAATGTATATCATATAGAACACGTAGTAGAGCTTCTAAAATAACACGAGTATTTCGAGCTAATACAGCTGAATGAACAGTACCATAATGTAGAGTAGTTTGATTAGAAAGATCCATTGATATATGATTATTATTATTATTCTTATTGATAATATGAATACCATCTAAAGATGTTTGACGCCAGTGATTTGCAATTTGTACAGATGGCCAATTAGATAATGTTAAACTAGGTAAACGATGTATAGAGAAACGTTCATGTTCCCATGCTAAAATTTCTTGATTTAAATTGATTTTTTTATGAATCATTTGAATGGTATTATTGTTGGATTCATTATTACTTGGTGATTGATGATGATTGTAAAGTAATACCTGAAATTAGGATGAAATATCCCCCCACAATTTTTTTTAATATAGACATAAAAACAATAAATTAAAAATAAAATAGAATCTATAGCTCAATTGTAACTTAGAGATTAAATGGACAGAAGTGTTATGTTCTAATAGCCCTGTTAATTACCATGTGACGAAACCACCAACCACAAAACTGATTTATATGACTTTGGCACTGTGCCAAACCATTGATGCCTTAACCAGCATGAGAGGCCTAGAGTCCTTATTAGTTCTTCTTGTCTTGCTTTACCCTGCCCTACCTACTGAATTCAGAACACCATCTCAGTCTCCACTTTACGAATAATGATATTTCACGCATAAGCAGTTTATATACAAGCAAATCCAACTACACCACACCATAAAAATCGGAATTAACTTAATGAATATCGTGAATGTTTTTATGTTAATTTTAGTGATAAGTTTAATAGAAGAAATTATCAAACTGACATAGTATTGTAAGAATAGTTTTATTAACCTTAATAATTGTGATCAACTACTATTTTATGATTTTTACTTTCATTTTTCTTGAAAAATTATTTATTATATGTTAAAGAAAACTCATTTAGTCAGCAACAACGTAGAACTTCGTACGTATGTACTTCGGTTCAAGTTGCCACACCACATTAGAACAGAGATGCAGTTGTCGATTCAAATCCTACAGTGGTAGAGATAGTCAAAGTATAGACAGTAATCGGAAAGATTAGGGTTTGAAGATGTTATTCAAAGAGTATAATTCAGTGAAATCAACTTGTAAAGAGAAAAAAAAGGAACACGAAGAATTTGGGAGAACACAAAGAGTGGATGCACCTGCATCATTGCAAACGATTTCGAGCCATGTCATTCAAGGTCTCTAACCATCGGTTGCTATCGTTTCACGGATCCCAACCAGGTAGTCTACACTTACAAACATGGCTCAGTGTACTTTTCAGCGACTTCATGGATTTGTGCCATGTCTCGGTTTGGCCGTCCATAGCTTTCTTCCAACATACTTCTACACCAGAATACATCGCTTGTCGGGGCAATCTGTGGTTGGTTAAAGAAAACTCTACCTGTAGCTCTTTTTTCACGGTTACTGATGGTCCCAAGCCCAGATAAAGAAGGAGGTTTGGGCACGGGGTCAACAACCCTAATCCATAAGAAACAACCTTGCTATAAAAAGACTAACCGGAGTAAGTATGTTAAAGAAATCAGGTAGATGTAATGTGATACATACTTTTCACACAAACGACGAAGAATAGATTGACCAACATAACTGAATTATTCTACGATTTGCAAACAAAGAAATAATCACAATGATCAGAACATTCATTCCTTGAAGTTTACCCATGCTAGGCAGGTTAGCTGGCGAGTGGTGAAACTGCAAGCACCAGTAACTGAACATCTGATGTTGCTTTCCAACTATGAGACGGAAGGACTAGAAAATGTCGACCCTAAAAGTAGTACACTTTACCGTTACCGAAAGTAAGACATTAACAGTACAGAGTTGAGAGATTAAAAACTATTCACAATAAGGTAGTGTGCGACAAAGTTCAAGCAATTGTCTCTCTTGGGTTTTGTGATCATCAAGACCATTATTAATCCAGTTTTTTTTGGGTCCTTTAAGGATAAATGGTGTAGACACTCGGGAAGTGATACCCGTCCACATACCACTAACAGCACTTGGACTCATCAAGCTCACGATGAAATCACATAGTCAGTAATGGAATTGAGGTTGCCTATTTTTTTCTATTTTACATTCACTAGCTAAACCAATATAGTCTTGAATATCAATATCGCAAAAATACCAATGTGAATCATATGTGTTAGACAAAGTGGTGGGGGTCAAAAGCGACTCATTAGCTTAATGGGTAACTAATCGAAGTGATACGTACTGGGGTTTGAGTCTACGTATAAAACATCAACACTAGGATGAAGTAGGAATTCCAAATAGGACGAAACATAGGTACTATATTTCAATGACAATAACTCCTAAACATAACGCTTTGCTTTTTCCAATAGTCGTATAACCAGTATTCACTTACAATGATGGTCATATTGAAACTGATCTAAATTCCTTAATCTATTATGGTACGAAATGTATGAGATGCCTAATCTGTATAACTTAGTACAGATAGATAAAAATAATATCGAACGTGCTAAAGAATAGGGAACATAGCTTTCTTGAGAGGAGATACTAGTCACCTACAAGAAGAAATTGACCTTTTAAATCGCAGATATTAACTACAAATGTTGATTTTATGAACTTTCAAGAATGTATCAATGGCTTAGTGGTTAAGAATTTCAACATTCAACCACTGGATCATATGTTCGGGCCCCACCCCAACCCACTTAATTCGGTTACAAAAGATAGATCTTACACACCGGATATTTACATTTAGAGGACGAATCAAAGTCAAGTACATGGATATGTACATGATAAAGGAATTATTAAGACCAAATCTTCCGTAAGATTTTCTTAAAAGTGTAATAATAGTAGTAGAAGTATCATTTCAAAAAAAAGTATAGACGACTGTGGATTAACACTAATGCTAAGCAACATACTTAAGCCAACAGAATCTTCAATATTTTGATCAAGCCATCGTTTGGAACCAACAAAGTTGAATTTTCCACCACCAGTTAAAAGGAAAACAATTTGATATCTGAATAAGAAAAATTGAAATATTATAATAGACTAAATTGAATAAACAAATTCATTGAATGTTATGCCTTTTTATGGTAAAAAAAAGTACTCAATATAGAGATGAGCCAAACACAGTCGAAGAAACTACTTTCAAGATTTTACATAAAAAAACTGGAAACAACTGAATCATACCTTTAACGGCATAAGATTTATGAAAGAAATACCATAATAATGTATCAAGAGCGTTTGAAATTCTTTTTATCAAAACAGTAAAAATGATAATTCTAAACGGATTCTTTATAAATAATTCCCCGAATGCCCTAGTACTGCCGAGAGTGGAGAGGGTCAGCTCTCCCTCTCGAAATGCTCTCATATGGCCACATGTATACAGCCACTGTCGGGCAAGTCTTACTCACTGCCTCCTCGTGTCGGATGTGTTGTTAACGGAATTGAGAGGATAAAAAGCGAAACTCTGGCATTTTAACTGGGTTGGTGGATACAGAGGATTCACCTATAGGAGTTGGAAAACCCTGATTCCAAACCAATAGTGCACATTGGTTCCAGGATCCTGAGGAAACGAATGGCGTATGAAATAATTACTGGTGACCGGGTACCATGGGAGTGCATCTCCTGACGTTTCTCCACTCCCTTGTGGATCGGACCTTTAGGCTGAAGGCTCCAGGTGTGACCCCCTAAGAAAGTCACCTGCTTCAGTCTGGGCACCCGGTCAGTATCACAGCTTACACACAAATCAAGCATGGCGCAGCTAAACATGAAACTCAAGACCAGTTATAAGCCTGTATAAGAAAAAATGGACATGATAAAATATTGATTTGTGATCTGATTAATCAACTTAAATTCTCTATATACCACCCTAACTCTGAGTTTAGCATTGCTCACTTAGTGGTTTTATTGTAGATACGTAGACCTTTAAAAAATTTTTGAGGCGTTATACAGAACTATACTTAAATGTCGTAACAGTTAAGCGAAAAACGACCGAAAAGCAGGAGCCTTTACCCGAAAAAAACAACAACAATTGCTTGTTTGTACAACTAAAAGAGTATTGGGAACTGAGTGAAGTGTAGACGACTTTACATAACATATGTAGAATGTTTAGATAGTTTTCAAAGCAACAAATAACGAAATTTTGGCGTGAAATTCACTCATCAATTTGGCTAAATAGAGTTTTAGCATTATGGCTGATGTCAGTTCGTGATGAAAACTCTAAATCTAATCTCTAACGCTAACCATCAACTGTAAATCATAGTTCTAATTCCTCATGCTGGTTAATAACCCTTATTTGGTTCTAGTTATTAGGTGAACACTATCAAGGTTGCTTTAGCGTCGCTTAAAGGTTGTTCATAAATTATAGTCTCACTTATGTCATTATAGAGAACTCTCAGAATCAATTGTATAATATAACGAATAAATTTTTTTAAACATCTAATCAAATTGTAATTTTTTAAAACACTTACGGCAACTTATTAGCTTCATTTACGTAGAGACGTGATAATAGACGAGCAAGTTCCAGTAAGATAACCACACCACTACCATTTGCATCGGCTCCATAAGCCAAACTCTGTAACATACAATAACAAAACACTGGAGACATGATTTTACGATTAGAGTTACGGTAATATAGACAAGTTAAATGATTTTTGTGATATAAAGTAATTTTATAGCCTGTTAAAGATTCTGCCAGAATTAATCAATTTAAATACGATGTAACCTTTAACAGATGATAAGCTTCAGGAAAATTACATCGTATCTAGGTGGGTACTAACAATTTTTATTATAATTGGGTTACTGTTTTAAAAGCTAAGCTGAAAGATTCGAATTCTACCAGATAATCTGTATGATGAATACAAAAACATACGTTCCACGTTGTATAGTAAAATACGAGTATAAATTACCCTATTTTAGTTGCATGGGACATGGAAGAAACGAAGTGACTAGTGTGTAATTAAATTTCTGAATGGAACTTCATCTTTCAGTAGATACAGTAACGTTATTAGCAAATGTATATATATGCTTGGTATATGCCAAACAACAACACTATAACATAACAAAGAGCGAGCATACTGGAAAAAATCTGCTTTAAGAAATCGTCAGTAAGGTGAAGTGTTAATAGAATATATATATTTGACCATATGTTTATTTTGCAGCGTTCCTAGTGTATATTACGACAACTAAGAGAAAACACTGGTGAATATTCAAAGTTAGAACACCGTCACATTGGTTCATTATTTGACAATTTACAGGAATGTTAAACTCACAGGGATTGCTGAAATCGTATCATAATGTGCACAAATAATAATAGTGGATTTAGCACTCTCTTTCCCAAGACGACCCTAAAAATTAAGTATGACAAAAATGTTGTTACCTCTATGTTTAACACATAATTATCAGCTATAGGCTTTGGTACTGGTGATCCAGTTAACAATCGGTACCCAGTTGACGATATCGCTCGAGTTAAGGCTGAAAGTAGAACAATATTAGCAGAACTTACCAGATAACCCTGAGCTCTGTGTATTGGACCTAGTGAGTTGACTAACCTGTTCAAATACTTCCTGTACTGACGAACTGTTAAAAGTAAAGTAGATAGGGATTTGAAATTCATCAGTTAATAGCTCCTTTTCTACATGGATAAAATGCTGAGAAAATGTTGAATAGGTAATGTTACATTTATTAATGCTTGTGACCACGGATAGGATGGTAGAATAATTATAATTCCAGCAACTTTGTGGTAAATGGCATCTTTGATAATATCTACTGTCACTTCTGCTAACCGTAAAAGAAGGCGATTCCGACCAACTATTTTATTGCTTTGTGTTTGGGTTTCACAATTTACAGACGACAATCGACTACCTAGAAAGCTGTGTCATTTACTTGTGCAAAAGAAACATACCAATACGAACACCTTGGAAATCGTATTGTTGGGCGCGATAAACGGTGAATTCCTGAACAGCATCAACAGAAGAGAAAGGCGTCAAAACAAGCAATGTCGATAAGAATATGCACAAATATTGCAAGTATTTGTTACCAGTTGTGTACGCAAAATACTGTGGATCCGTAAGCTGGACACTATCAGCAGCAATTCACTGTGGGTTAGAACATTCTAGATCGCAGCGGAGGAACGAATCAGGAGGAAGCTGTGTATGTTGATGGGAAAGAGTGTGTTATGATATGAAATAGTAATGCTGATTATGGGGGGTAATGAATTATTGATCGGACCAAAGACGCACAAACACGTATAACGGCCTAGGTTCTCATTGGTCTCGCTTCCCTATCTAACCTAGCCAGTTGCGTCCAGAACCCAAGTCACAGCCTCGGACACATGAATCATTATATTACAAACATACTTCGTTTATACACCAGTCAAGCAGACCACAACGTACCACAAAATAGAAAATAACATTGTACAATATTGGCCAACAGGAAAGTAACACGTTAAATAAATATTGACCAATAAGATGACACCATTTCATGTTCTAGGATAGCATTAGGCTTAACAGGATAATTTTCGGGATATTTTCCTGAATATCCCAACGACGTGTTACTGCATCACTAGGCAAGCCTTCAGTTGGAATCCTCAATAACGAAGGAGAAATGGAATACCTAGTAACATATTACACCGAGAAATTGAAGCAAACGGGATAATAATGAACACGATTGGATTGAACTAGAATAGGAGGTTTTGGACAGAGTGTGGTGTGAACACCACTCATCGTTCTGTGCCGAAATCACAAACTGTCACTGGATCAATAGAACCATTTGACTTGTCTTTGTATTTCTTAATGCCCTTTCTGGTGATGATGGAAGACAATCGGCTTGAACACTGGATTCACTTTGAAATCACTTCGTTTGCTCACATTTTATTTACATTGTGATTTTCGTCAGCTAAACTGTGGATTTCGCTTGAAGTGATTGCTACTATGATACACTAGTGGGTAGAGAGTTCATAGTCAACTGGGACTCGACACAACGCCGCAGACTTTTCAGTTTTTTCTCTTTCCTTTTTGGTATCATTGCAATTGTATCACACAGCAATGAAGCTTTGACTGAGGCCTGGTTCACATGTGTGTTTGTCCAAGTCACTGGTCTGAAAAACTGTAAATTGATTAACGTTCATATCAGAATAACCTATTCAATAAGTCTTCATGTATATGCCGCTACATCATTTTGCCGATTTAATCTATATAGTAACCCTACTATGACAAGTTATTGGTTATGGCTGCAAAAACGTCATGAATGTACGTTCGAAATAAAGTTTAATGACTAATTTATGCTTCTGTAGTTGTAGTATCGAATGTATAGGAAACTGAAGCATCTGTCATGAACTGTACCAGATCCAACTAGCTATGGCCGGTGCCAGGCGATAACATGCGCTAGAAACATATTTAGACCCACCTAACTGACGGTTTTTTTAAAGATGCAATTTCAGCATGCTTGAATAATGTGATAATTTGGTGTCCGAGCATGCTGTAAAATGCAACTTTACGCTTAATACTCCTTTTACGAAGGTGGCCCTACGCTTTCACGTAGTATAAATTGATTGCGATCACGATCCATGACAAAAATTCCGCTCTGTTAAGTATATATATATTTCTTTGATTTTCAAATTGTCAACAACCTGAAGGCTGCTGAGTATAAACGTAAAATTTACGAACACTGGGCAGTCAGAAGCTTAATGTAGCATCAGCTCAGACTCACGTTTGTGGAAAGTGCGGATTATATCAGACATAGGTTTGCTTGACTTCAAGCTAGCTGGAAAGTGTACATTCTACACTATACTGCCACCTTGTTTATAAAAGTTGCGGTCTTATATACCTTGTCTCTACAGCATGAGCAGACTACCCTCAGGCCGCTAGCGTACAGAAAAATCTTTCTTAAGTGAGAGCAGCTAGAAAAGCTCCTGATGTACATTGTGAATGAAAGAGACCCTAAAACACCCTTGTATAACCTCGCTAGTTACCTTCTTGGATGCTGATGTTTTTCGGTTGACTTGGGTGATTCGGTATCGATCATCCAAGAATTATTTAAGTCAGCTAATCACAGGGTCATGGTTTCCAACTGAATATGGTTTGTCATGTAATATTTTGGCGGATACTTTATCAGATGCCCTATGTATATCAAAGTAAATGACTACAGCTAATTTCTGTAACTCGCGGCGCTGTGGTTTGTGGTCACAGCACACAAAGTTCATGTACGATCTACTAGTTACGACACTATGCTGCGATTCAGAGATAGGATTTTAAATTGGTTAGTAGTCTGAGATACTTATGTTTTACAAATCCTGTGATTCGTGGAAGAGATGGGGTGATATTCATGGGTCTGTAATTAACAGCATTCCGTTCCCAGTCTTGTATGTGATATAATGTAGCTTGTCTTTCAGTTACTTGGCAAACGCCTGTATAAAATGGCACAGTGAATATCTTAAGAAGTATGGTTGGCGAATTACCATCATATTTTTAGGTAATTTTAAAGGGATACTGTCAGTTCCTATACGTGTTGTATTCATAAGACTTTTTATCGCCTCAGATTTATTCTGAGCACTGGACAGTTACTGGATGTATGAGTCATATTGTCGAGATTGGCAAGCTGCTTTAAATTAGCCTTTGCAAAAGAGTTGCTGACTATTTCCCGTGTATCTGTGGGATCATTGTAGATTGTGTCATCCTGAATAAGAAGTGGGTTATCTTTCGGTCTGCACCTACGTTTACTCAGGAGCAATTTTAAGCTGTTTGTTTTAGGGCTAATTCTGAGAGCGTCAAGCTCTTCTTCATTGTCATTTAGGTCACGTAATGCACTGTCAGGTTCGTAAGTCTCATATGTCTATTAGAAGGATGAACAGTCTTTAAAAGTTTATGGTTGTGAAGTTTGCTGACTTTTGCATGACATTTACGTGGGAGGAATAAAGACTTGTTGTTATGAAACTTGTGCGTCTTTTTCAGGAGAAACAGTACTCAAACGCTACAGTATAGTCCCATGGAGGACTACCACAGACGCTGCAAGCAGAGTAGTTCATAAGTTTCACTAACAACTATCAGCTAAAAACCTAGGAATGTCATGTCTCAGTGTGAATATTCCTCACAATTTGCATTTAGTGTGTGAATTGACAGAGAACTAGTAGTGGACACATCTTCAACGTGTTTTATTATACGTGTAACCCAAGTCCAAGATATTGTTACCGAGCATATGTTGCGTGACGTACTGATCCTAGGTGGAAATATTTATAGCAGCAAATATTTTTCATATCACTGAAGACACCTACCCATCTTTCAGTTGATTTCAGGCAGGTTGAAGTTACCTGCACTCATTTCAAATCAACACTTAATGCCAAAACATTTGCGAACATTTTGGAAAATCCTATATCGGTTTTAGGTTTTGGATTCTGTGCTGTATTCCGACATCCCACAGGTATCTTATAAGTTATGCTGCGTGTGGTGAATGTTAATCTATACGTTTTGATGCTGCGCGTTAGCGTTTGAAGAGAACAATACTGGTTCGAGTCTCGGATTGAATATTGATGGTGGTATGCAGGTAAATTCAGCTGACGAGTCTCAAATAGGACAAAGCGCGTGTCCTGGATTCTATTGCTAGCCACTATCCATCTTTGCATATAATGTTTGTGACTTAAGGCAATGTCGAGGGGATACACACAGTATGCACATATGCCAATAAGAAACGGATCAATTGCAATATTAATCAATGGGGAGGTTTAAACAAACAATACCAAGGGAACTCAACAAACGGAGTTTCAACTGCATGACTTACATGTTTTACGGTTGGTCTTATATTACTATAGTCAGGTGCCAAATGTTCTCATGGTGATGCTATGTGATCTGAGGACTTGATGTCTACGTGCCGTTTTCTAGGCTTATAATATATCTGGTGAAGTAACGTGTCCGGAAAAGAGACCTTGACAGAACGTTGTTGTTTGAAAATACAAAGCCATCTCTAAGAATTGTATCATATAAGCTAGTTATCAGAAGCAGAATTATTTTAAAATGCGGCAGACAGTGGATGCAAATTGTATGCAATAAAAAAGAAAAACAACAATGAACGGAATTCAGTGTATGAGGTTGAAATAATAATATTAATAGTAATAATAGAGGAATCAGTTCATTTAGGAAAAATACGACTAGAAAATACAACTACAGAAATTAGGTTCACTTTCATGAAGAAGGTAAAAGTTACGGCAGGACTGCCACTGGCCTTTATTCTGAGTAGTATCTGATGACGACTTTAATCACTCTGTCGCACCATCTCCAGGACCCCAACCAAGGATTCATGGAAGGCCAACACAAGCAAGTCCGGTAAAGCTTTTTCTATGCGACGACATCACGCAATACAACGATCACTCCTCAGCCTTTTCCAACCAGTTTTAGCGTCAAATAACAATGCACAACATGGGACAACATTCGTAAGACATGTCCAGACCACCGAAGTCGATGTTTCAAGATAGCGATAACAACTGGATGATCGTCGCCGTGCCCGAACACAGGCTGTAGAACCTCTGCATTACTAACATGGTGTTGCCACTGGATGTCAGCAATCCTTTGGGGACAACAATGAATAAACACCAAGAGTCGTCTAACATCTTCAGTTCAAGGAGTT